ATGTAAATGTAATAAAACAATAAAAAGAAAATCCAGATCCTCAGGTATTTACTAAGTAACCATTCTGTACTCATTAGTGTCCTTTGGACTGTTCAGCCAAACCTTTGCATTTATTTCTAATGTTTGGTCATTTGTAGGTGCTATTTCAGAACAGTAATCTGAAAAGTTGAATAACTAATTCATTCAATAAATAGTTGTGACTAGTCCAGAATATAAGAGAATTAATACAGAGATAATCTGTTCTCAGAATTTACCAGCTCTTAGAATGAGCCAAGCACGAATTAAACCATAAATATTTATAAAAATGGAATTTTTTGCAGTTAACTCTTGTTCTCTTTTTAGGCTTCCCTGTATCTACTGACTTATTAGTTCTGGAACTTACATGTGAGAAGTTGAAATATCAGAACGGAAACTATATCACCTGCCCACAGTGATACATTTGAAGTCATTTCCTATACTTTGTTATATTGGAGGACCCTGCCACAAACACTGTCATGTCCCTCGTTAAAAGCTAAGTGACTTGCCTAAAATTAAGGCATGACTTTAGGTAAAATTAAAGAAATATCAAATGATATGTTGAAATTTGTTTGTAAGTTTAGAATTACAATGAAGGCCGTTTTTGTGAATGTGTCAAGAATATCCTTATTAGGGACAAGGCCTTGTTGTATGTAATAAAAGTATAATCTGGGACATTGCTTCAGTGTTACCAAACTTTATATAAACCAAACAGTTGAGCTAAGGCTGAGAGATTTAGATATAAACATCTTCCTTGGCATAGGAAATGAGCTGCATTTTGTCAAATGAAGCCCTACATTCATCAAGGAATACTGGAGTTCCTTTTGTAAGCCAAGATGCATTTCAGGTAGGAGGATAACAATGGTGTACAAGTCTCTGCTACTTTTAGGCTTACATAAAGGTTGGGCAGGAACTGACAGAAAATATCAATTAGTCATAAACACCGAGGAGAAACACCGGGTGATTTGAGAGTGACTGGAGTGGAGAGAGGCTTTAGACTAGATGAGCCAGGATGGTGCGCTGACAGAGATTGCAGTTGAATCAAAATGTTCAGATTGTGAATGTGTCTGTGTTTACCAAGGCTGACTGGACATGAGGCATACCCCTGTATTCCTAAGTACCTGGAAGGCTAGTGAAGGAGCATTGGGAGTCCAAGGCCACTAGGGAGCCTTTATCAAATAAAAAACTTGACAAGGTACTGTTTGATTTCTCCCAAATGCCTTTCCAACACCTCTCAGCTCTCTCCCCTTCATTTTCTATATCGGATTGTACTTCCCTGAGAAAAATAGAAGGTGAGCCGGTTCACCATCTCCATCTGTTACAAAGGATATCATTTGACTACAATATTCATGTTAACCTTCATGATTGTAAGAAACAGAATCCTCAGTGGAGGACCATAAAGAATAGACTGTTTGCTCTCAAAAGGAGGTCTACTAGTCTGAGGTTGGGACTCCCAAACCCTGCCGCTGGGTATCCAAGGGTACAGGAAAATCACTGTGCAGGGTCTGAAAATCAGTTTTTGTAGTCAGGAAGAGGAAGGGCCTAGCGAATGATTTTTGGGTAAACTGTTCTTCAAAACTACCTGGTGGGAGATAAATCACATTGCCAGCTTTTGCAAACTCTGGGCTCCAGGGCATCTGATGGGAATAGCTGCCTTGGAAAATTCCCTGCGAGCAGATTTCTTGAAGCTTTGGGCGTGGGGGTAGGGGAATCTGTTTTGTGGCCCTGGGGTTTTTGTTGTTGTTTGTTTGTTTGTTTTTTAAATGGGGATAGGGTTCTTTAATGGTTCTATACTATTAAAGAGTCCTTACTACCAAGAAAACTGCCCTACAGTTGGACCAAACAATGGCACAAAACAATAGCACAAAAAGCAAAGAGAGACCAGAGACTAGGTTTTAATGAACAGGCATCGGCCTCAGAAAGCTTTGGTAACAAGCACAGCAGAAGCAACTGAAAGGACGTCAGGTTTATCGACTTGAGCCCAGTGAGGGTAGTTGTGGTTTTGCAAGAGTCGGCTTAGACCCACCCCCACCCCAAGCTAAGAAGATTACTAGCGTAAGACCGCCTCGCAGTTCAGATGACCGTCACAAGGTACAAAACACTGCGCATGTCCGTGACGCATGCGGGCGCCTCTACCGGAAGGAGTGCCTGAGCCAAGATGGCTGCCAAGCCCGGGCCCGGAAGTGCTGCCTCCCCCGGCTGTGCCGGGGCCATGGAGCGGGTTCTACCTGTGCTGCTGGTGCAGATCCCTGCCGAGGAGGCGGCGGCACAGCTGGGATCGCGGGCGCAGCTGCACCGAGGGCAGGAGGCCCTGGGGAGCCTGACGGCTGCGGGCAGTCTCCAAGTGCTCTCCTTGGCGCCGGGCAGTAGGGGTGGAAGCAGCTGCTGCCTCCAAGGCCCCTTTGGGCAGTAAGTGCGGCGGGACCGCTGCGGAGTGTGGGAGGAGTCTGAAACTTGAGCCGCTCCTGCAGCTCCTGAGGGCGAGCCGCAGGCTCCTCTCAGCGCGGGTTGGTGGGAGGGGGTGACAGCGGGGAAACACCTCAGGACTGAGCCCCTCTCCTCTCGGGACCTCTCCCATCCCGAGGTGATCTGCTCACTTTGTTGCACCTCCCTCCCTCACTTCCTGGGTGGGCAGAGAAGATACCCACTCCTCCATAGCCTCTGCGAACCCTGCATGGGTCCCTGCCCAGGTGCTGTTTCTTTGACTTAAAAAAACAGATGGTTACAGAAAGGACTCCTAAGCCTGTCCTCCTCCTCCGCCTCCTCCTCTTTACTATGTAGTCCTAGAACGTGATCGTGGGCTGGGCTGGAACCTACAGAGATCCGCCTGCCTCTGCCTAAGCTACCACACCTGACTTTGGTTAAAGATGCCAGATGAGGCTTATTTCTAACTCATTTCAAATATTCATTTTTGTTACCGAAATAATGTTTTCTTGCAAACATAGCTCCACACACACCCACTTCTCTTTAAACTTGTCCACCCAATGCAAGTGCCCAGGGGTCACTGAACTATCCCAGTCCTTTTTCCATATTTGAATCGCAGTCTCTAGATGGCTGGCTTGCAATTCACAGTCCTCCTGACTTACCCTTCCTAGGGCCGAGGGTACAGGCTCTATCTCCATGTCTGGCATGTCAGTTCTGTCTTAGATATGAGGCTCCCGTGGATTGAGAAGATAGATAATTACAATAACGTACCACTTTCCACTTTCATAAATCTTGGTCCAGGGTGGACAGTTTACATAAAGTTTGGGAGTACCCTGAGTACATGATGACCTTTTTAAAAATGGGAATATTTTAGAACCAGTTGGTATGAGACTATAGCCAAGAGGTATCACTTTGGAATCTCCAAGTTCTGTAACAGCTCTGTATATACAAGACTAGTTTGCTAAATCAGCAAGTATTTTAACCACCGCCCTTGAGATAAGCCTTATCTGATGAGGGCTCGTGAAGCTCAGGCTGACCTTGAACCAAGGATGGCTGTAGATTCTACTCCACTCTCCAGGGCCGGAATTCTAAGTGTGCATCACCATGCCCAGATTTCCCTTATTCCTCTGTGTGAGTGTTCACGTGTCTGCTGTGTGTGTGAGTACCTGTGCCTACATATGTGGGGGCTGGAGATCAACATAGGTGTCTCCTCTACGTCACTTACATTTCGAGACAGCCTCTCACTGCACCTGGAGCTCATGGATGGGCTGAATTGGCTACACCCTCTCAAGCCAGCAGGCCTCCTGTCCCCACCTCTCAGTTCTGGGATTAGAGGTGTGAGCCACATGCCCAGCTTTGGATGTGGATGTTGAGTCAGACCTCAGGCTTTCCCTCTGAGCTCTCTCCCCAGACCTTTTAAACGACCTAATTGAACTGAATTTTTATTCTGTTCAAATGTGTATAGAGTAAAAACAAGGACAGTGTTTTAGAAGTTAGGGTTTGCGCTCTCCTTTTCACAAAGTATATAGGTTTTCATTTTTTATTTGTCTTTTAAAGATTTACTTTTATATGCTTGTGTGTGTGTGTGTGTGTGTGTGTGTGTGTGTGTGTCTGCATGTGCCACATGTGTGTGAGTGCTTGTGGAAGCTAGAAGAGGGTGTCAGAGCCTCTAGAATTGGAATTACAGGCAGTTATGAACTGCCCAGTGTGGATGCTAGGATATGACCATGGGTCCTCAGGAAAAGTAGCAGCTGCTTTTTTCCACTGGGGGCTTGCTTGTTCTCTCTCTCTCTCTCTTTCTTTGAGACTGTTTCTCCTGGCTGGCTTCCAACTTTTGATCCTCTTCTTCAGGTCTTTTCAGTAGTGAGATTACAGGTAAACATTACTGCACCAGCACATTTGGTATATATAGGTCTGTTTTATATTGAATAGGTTGTTGTATATTGTATATTCTTTTCATCGTATTTCCTTTCTGTGTGGTAGTATATGTGCTAATGATCTTAATGGGATAGCATAGTGTTCTCCCTTTGGGATAGCACAGTGCCTTTAAATATTTTACTTTGTTTAACCTTTTCCAGGATTGATATTTAGGTTATTTCCCAAATTTTCAGTGTAAACAAAAATTAGGTGTTTGTGAAAAAAAAATAATTTCTGCTATATAAAAGACAGAATATGAACTGTCAGTCTTTTTTGGGGGGGAGGGGGGGAGTGTTTCAAGACAGGGTTTCACTTTGTAACCCTGGCTGTCCTGGAACTCACTCTGACCAGGCTGACCTCGAACTCACAGAGATATGACTGCCTCTACCTCCCAAGTACTGAGATTAAAGGCGTGTACCATCACGGTCCAAGTCTTTCTAATAAGGACCTAATAGCCACCCCATTTAACATGAAACTCACTACTGTAGAAAAATCAAAGTTTTTAAAGGAAGTTGAAACTATCAGAGTGGTAGCCTCATCCTTTCAACTGCATTGTTTTCAGAGTTGGGTCCTATTGACTGGTTTTGAGATAAGGTCTTTCTCTGTAGCCCAGGCTGGCCTTAAACTCTAAATCTTCCTGTCTCAGCCACTGAAGAATGATGTTGAATTATTGTTGAGCCACCACATCTGGCTCGTGCATATTAGTGACAGAGTCTTGCTATGTCACTTAGGCTGTCTAATTACTGGGCTCAAGAGACCCTCCTTCCTCAGCCTTCTGAGTAGCTAAGATAACAGATACATGTTGCTCTGCCTAGCTTGGGTCCTTTTTGGTTTATTTTTACATGTATGTGAATGTGTGCATGTGTACAAGTGGAGGCCTAATGTTGATATTGGGTATCTTCATAGATTGCTCTCCACAATCATTTTTAAATTTTATGATTAGTCTTTGGATGTGTGTGCACATGCTCACAAACCTATAGTGCAGCACAAATTGTGGGGGTCAGAAAACAGCTCTGTGGAGTTGGTTCTCTGTGTCTACCTTCACGTGGATTTCAGGGCTCTAACTCGGGTTGCCAGGCTTGCATGGAGGTGCCTTTCCCTGCTGAGCCGTTGCTGGCCCCATACTTCATTTCTGGAGGCAGCGTCTGTCTAAACCAGGAGCTCATAGTATCTGACTGGTCTAAGTAGCTAGCTTATCCCCAGGATCTCTTGTTTCTTCCTTATGAGTGCTGGTATTGCAGGTGGCCCCGCTACCATGCCTGACTGGCTTTTATGTGGGTTCTGAATGTCCAGACTGCCATTCTCAAGCTGGTGGAGCGAGCTCCTTAAGCCCCGAGCCGCCTTTCCTGCCTGTTACATTTATTTTAAATGTAATTTACTACATTTGGTCTCTCTCCATCCTTGTTAGCCCATACTGGTAACTGTGCCGTCTAGTGTGACAGTTGTTAGCCACATGTGGCTGTTAAAGTGAACTTTAAAATCCAGTTCCTTGGTTGCACTGCCCATGGTTGAAGTGCTTTGTAGCCACAGCTGCCCACTGGTTGTCGGCTGTCTTGAGCAGCTCTGAAATAGAAATAACATTTCTATTATCACAAAGTTTTATTGGGCAGGGTTCTTCTCTACCATAATATTCCGGAGTATTCAAAGACTGTGGATGTAAAGAATCACTTTCTAAAATCTGAAATAGTTCAACTCAGCCAAAGCCCATTTAAAACATGTATTTATTTTATGTGTCAAGTGTTTACCTGCATGTATGTGTGTGTACTGTGAGCCTGGTGCCT